CATCACGAGTGTTGGCTTCTGATTATTCTTGTGACTGGCATCAAATGCCCACACAGAAGATAGTGCTAGAAATGCCAGGGTGGCTTAATTAGTGCTTATGGGAGAGACTGCCCGGTATAACGCCCAGTAGAATCAATGGGAGTGAATGGGCGTTGGGAGCCAGCTTGATTAGTGCTTGGTGTTGTGGGATACGAGGGCGCGATGAATGTCACGTTTCCTACAGCGCTCAGCTGCACCTGATTTCACTGGCACGTTTCTGGTAAGCTGGGCCACTCTTGCATCCTTTTCCCTAGATTGTTGTGTCTGGGTGACTAAGGCTTTTCCATGCATTTTGTTCCAGGGACTGGGCGGGGGAGGAGTGGAGTTGGAATAATGTGACCTTAAAAGAGAGAGAGAGGGGGAAAAAATCTGGGTCAATGGGCAGCGATCGAACCGCTAAAAAGCAACTGGGGGGGAATGGGAAGAAATGAAAGCACAGGGCTGGAAGAGATATTAGGAGCAGCAGCACAGTTACTGTGACCAAAATAAAGTCGCCCCAACAGGTCTTTGGTACAAGCCCTGGCGTTTTCGAGTTTTATTTTGATAGCGGTGACACAATTGTCAAACCAATGCATCCCAGACCTGCGCTGTCTGCCTGGCCCTAGCAGAACACTGAATGGGTGACTCCTGTACTGTAGCTCTGGGAAAGTCAAGCACGTGGCACATAATTGCACATTCAGCCACTAATCTTTCCCTTCGTGGTTCGGTTTCTCCTTCTCTTCAAAACTACCTGCGTGTAATACTATTTCCTGCTTTCTTTATTCTTCCTTCCTCTTGGGGACACTAGAATACCAGATCCCGAGAGACAGAGATACTGGCTAGAAAGATCCATCTATCTAGGTTCTTATACAGTGCCCATAGCGGGGTTTCTGTGTGAATCAGAGAGTTTTACACATACACGTATGCATATAACATGAAATAAATACGTGCATGTGGAGATAGAGAAAGAAAATTGCCTGGAGAGGGCAGAAAGAAGCACACGCATAAATCGATGGATAATCCATATGGGTACCAGATATGAAGGTATAGCTATGTAGCTAGACACACACGCATACATTGGGTAGACGGACTTCTAACTCCAAGGCACTTCTACAAATCTGCATCTCTCTTTCTCCTTAATCAAATGCAATTTTGCCCAATCTAATCTGTTTTTGTCTAATGTAAAGGGATTGGAGATTTTGTGCATATTTTATAGACACGCCGTTGCCATTATGTTAATTATCTTGTCTGTTGTTAGGGGCGGGGAAGGGAGGCGTGAACCGTTTGGATTATTTAATTTTTAATCACTGCTTTTTTCCACCCCCGTCACCCTCAAAAACGTCTTTCAAGACTTCGTTCCTCAAAGAAGTTCTCAGCATCCTGGCTGAGCAGGTCCCTTCTTAGTTCATTTGTGTCCTTCGCAGAGTGCCTCGGAAAAGCAAGATTAAAGGGGAAAGTCGCAGCTGCATATTTATGTTTTCATTGCTAGAAGGGAATTGATTTCCTTGCATTTATTTCTGTAGCTGTAATGCACAAGGGCGGATTTGCGTCACCAGAGCAACTTGCTGGTCGAGATAAAGTTGCACAAATATTGAAAAGGGAAGTGCTCGCGCTCATTATAAAGTTTTTCGCCGGAAGAAATAAGGATTTCTGCTGTATCCTAAAATACTAAAGCCGCTTCTATTTTTGGGACAAATCTCGCAGGCATATCCGCTCATTTAGTCCGAGTTGGAGCCTATCAAAAACAGGAGATGACCTGAACTTCAGTGAGTCCTGAGCTTCCTGCAGCCTTCTTGCTTGTATGCAAGAGAAGGAGGGGTTGTCCCCCCCCCCCCATGGGTGTGTGCGTGTCTCCTTACCCCTGAGCAGGGACGGGTTCCCTAGGAGGGGGAGGTTCTGCTTTATGAGTAGGGAGCCTGTTATTCTTGGGTAGGGGCTCTCCTTGAGCATAGCCAGCGGAGGAGGGTTTCCCCAGGACCAGGCGTCTTGTTGATCCCGAGCAAAGGGGGGTGACCGCAGTCCCTCCCCATGGGAGAAGGGAGCTAATACTTCGGGTTAGGGGCCTCCTCGCACCGAGGCATCGTGCTCCCTGGGAAAGGGCAGGGGCATCCTCTTCTCTGTAGCGTCTTGCCCTCACACAGGAGAATTGGCTGTCCCCGGCTGGGCTGGCCCAACAAGGGATCGTCATTGCTACGGGCTGGGGTGGGGGTGCGACTTCTAGGAGGGGGAGATTATTGACTCTGGAAAGGGGCCTTCTTGTCTCTAGTGGGTGGAGGGAATTTGGCCGCTGGGCCGGTGATCTCCTAGTTACTGGACTAAAGGATTATCCCCTCGGAGGAGGAGGCAGCCGGATTGTTGCCTCTGGAATAGAGTCCTAGGGGAATTTTTGCACCTGCTTTCCCCAAGCAAGCCTCACTCAAGTGTCCCCCATCGTCCCAATCCGCGCAGCCTAAGGCCCAGCCCAGGGTCAAGTGCTTTGCTGCAAAGGGGTTAGAATGTTCCTTCGTGTTATTTCTGTCCTTAAAGGATAAAGCCCAAGCACCGGCCCCTCCTCCCCCTACGGAAAATACAGACAAAGCAGGTTGAGTTGGGGGCTGCTCACTCTTCTCTTGGAATTCCAGGTTTCTAAATATACTCGCTGCCTTCCCGACATCCAGGGAGATGAGACGGGAAACAAAATTAGGGAATGGTGGGCGGGAGCTGAGATGAGTGGCTGGAACCAGACCAATGGAGGAGGCGAGGGATCGGGCCCTAAATCAAGTGACAGAAACTGCAGATTCAACTCCATGCCTGAGTTACTTCTAGAGAGAAGCCTTGATCCACGATCCTGGAGTGCTGCTGCCAGCCAGAACAATGCATTTTAGAAAAGAAAAACCAAGCGTACGCCTTGTTACACTCCCAAACAATGCCCATGTATGAAGATCTCTCTTAGAAGTGTTGTTCTCTGTTCACCTCAATGCTGCACTCCCTACTTCGCAGCAAGCGGGAGAGAAAGGGTTTCTCTTTCCTAGACACTTATTTGTTGCCACTCTTAAAGCCCAACCTTGGTTCTGATCGTACATATTCGGCACTTTATCGCGATGCACAGTAGTAAAACACAACCTTTGCCATTTGAATCCTAGGACTTTAATGGTAAGCGTTTGCTAAATGTGTTTGATAAATACTAGAACTAGATCTGCAGCTGTGTCGTGAAGTTGCCTTGGAATATTTCGCTTTGAACAGATCTTTCAATGAACAGGTTTCCCAGGATTTCCCCCCAGATTAGTTCATTTAGAAATGAACTCTGTCCTTTTATTACGATGCTTCTTGATAAAGTGCCCTATCTGTAGATCAGAATCAAAGTGAAACATTACAAGTAATTGTGTCTAGAAAAGAAAAAACCCGTTCTCTGCTGCGTGCTCTAAAGTAGGTTCAGCAGCCGTGAGGTGAACAGACTAGAGAACAGGGTTTTTTACGAGATACTGTCATGTGCATGGCTGGGATCCTATTGAAGAAACACACTTCTTTATTCTTTTCTAAAATAGATTGATAACAGTTTTTCGTCTGGCTGAAATTAACAGACTTGCTTTAAGGGCATCTGACAAGATGAAATGGATGGGATTTAGCCTCTTCCCGGCAAATCTTTACATTTTTAAAAATATGAAATGTTGAAATCTAATTCTCCGTTCCCCGAATACCCTTAGTTTCCGGGTATATCTTCACAATTCATCATGTTTCTATTATTCTGCTTAGCCTCATTCAAATAAATGCGGAGTTGTTTTCTAAAAAGAGGTGTGTATCCATACATGGATTCACATAAGCTATTTATGTTGGCACTTGGCTGAGAAATATAACCATCAAAGGTTACAGGTGATTTCATTTTTTTCACGGCTGCATTGGATTTTCAGACCTGAAGAAAGAAAGAGAAAATGTTTGAATGTCTTGCTTTCCACCGAAAACTCTCGGAATTTTGCAAACTATGTGGTTTTTTTTTAAAACGAACAAACAAACAACCTGGCTGCTGAACATTAAATGCATAGGAACGGTTCAAAAAATCCTTGTATATGAAGATGCTGTACAAAATAAAATATCTTCCCAAAGGTGGAAATTTTTATATTAAACAAAACATCAGTTACGTTGAAATCTTGTTAGTAAAGCCCTGCAGAAAATGTAGTTACTTATTTTCTCTCTCCTAAATATTTGTTTTATTTGGTTTGCTGTGTTTACAAAATACTCAACGAGTCTTTACGGTGAAGTTACAAAGCAAATAGAAAAGTGTAAGCACATTCTTGACAAAAGTATGCAGTCAAAAAGTAGTTAGGACCATTGTCTCCGAGACCTGTCGCTATTATTTATATGAAGCCCAGAGCCAACAGGGCAGTGTTCACGTAAGTACCTACACTGCACTTACTCTATTAAATCTGCATTCTCTTACAGACCGGCCAAGTCTCACTTGTTTGGAAAGAAACGTCTTTAATTTGAAACGATTTGAAGGCAGGTTTTAGCTCTCCTTATGAAGGATTTTACGGTGTGTGTGAATGAAACATTTTGCAATCATAACTGGTAACTAAAGCATATCGCTAAGCCAATCTGTTACAGCTTGACAGTCCTGTGTGTAGAATAATACAGCAGAATTTAGGGAGGTTGGGGGGGAGAAGAGGACAGCACTATATACACTCAAGAGTTTTCGGCTCCTTAGCCCATTTTAAGGAGGGGGAGGGGAAAACAGCCCTGGTTATAGCAGAATTTTCAACTCAGCTTCGGGAGGAGACAGCTCTGCACTGTAGCTGCATCTTCTCCCCCATTCAGGACCCCGCAGGGGTGGAAGGGGCATACATAAGAGTTGTATATGGATTAATATTTATCCGCCCACCGCTGCCAAGACAGGGAAGATCGGGCAGTCTATACCGTGGCGTGGCCAGTGCCCCGTTCAGGGCGGGGGGGTCGGGGAAGGGGAGCTAGGTAGACAGAGCGGAAAGTTCAGTTCAGCCCTGGCCCGGCGCCTGGCTGAGGGGCCGGGCGAGCTACAAGTGCAGCGATCGCTCCCCCGGGGCTCGCAGCCAGCGCTGCGCTGCGCGGCGTGGCTAGCCGCCGCCTGCCCCCACCCCTCGGCCCTGAGTGGCTGCCGGCTGCCCAATGAGCGGCCGGAGGCGGCCGAGCTGCTGACAGCGGCGCCCCTGCCCATTCCGCGGGAGGAGGCGGGCTGGATTCGGGGAGCAGGGGGTTTGTTTGGGGTGGGTTTTTTCCCCCTCCGAGTGGCCGGGCGCGCTGCAGGGAGAGGAGCGGCCCCACTCTCCCGATCGCTACGGATGCACCGAAGGCGGGCGGCACCGTTGCGCTGAGCTCCCGGGCTGCACGGGAGGAGACCCGCCGCTCCCCAGTGCGGGGGCAGCCGCCCGCACGCTCCCTCCGGCCGGGGGAAAGAGCCGACGGCGGAGCCTCGTCCGGCCCAGCGCCCCGGCCCCAGGATGTACACGGCCGGCCTGGCCCCTTTCTACGCCTCGAACTTCAGCCTGTGGTCCGCGGCGTATTGCTCCGCGTCCGGGCCGGCCGCGGGCGGCTGCTTCCCGCTGGATCACGCCGTGGTGAAGAAGCCTTCCTTCTGCATCGCAGACATCCTGCACGCCGGGGCGGGGGAGGTGGCGGCGGCCGAGAGCCTGCCCGGAGCGTCTGCCGCCGGCCTGGCCGCTCACTTGGGAGCGGTCCATCCCCACGCTCCGTTCCACCCCGCCGGCTCCCCGCTCAGACCCACCCCGGTGGTGGCCCCGGACACCCCCGCCGGCTTCCCAGCTAGGCTCTCCCCGCTCTCTGCCGCGTACCCTCACCACCACCACCACCAGCACCGATCGCCGGGAGCCGCCAGCAGCGGCGGCGGCACCCCCACCCCGGGCCGGCTGCATGGGAACCCAACGCACAACGGCCCGGCGCCGGCTCCTTCCAGCAAAGATCTGAAATTTGGGATTGATCGCATTTTATCCGCGGAGTTTGACCCCAAAGTCAAGGAAAGCAACACGCTAAGAGGTAGAGATCTGAGCTTTTCTCGCTGTCCGTTTGTAGCCAGCCTTAACCTTTACAAAAAATCACTACTATCAATGTAGTGTTATTTGTTTGCAGTTTCCTTTAACACTAATCTACAGTCCCGTGTCCTGTAAAAGCCTGTCATTGAGATTACACTGCTTTAGAAACAATCGCTCTCAGCTCCCTAAAGATTGTACGCAGAGGGTAGATCACATTTTGGAAGGCTTTTCCTGCAGTCCGGGTCCTCATGCAGTGTGTAAACACGCTGACAACGAGTAAATCTATTAAAGGAACTCCGGTGCTAGAGGAAAATACTGCACCTCCAGAGGGAAACCATTGTATAAAGTTCCCTGGCTTGTACGTTCCTACCATGTCACTTCGAAAGTGTGATTTCCCCACTGCCCACGCTCTTCATTGTATCTGACTGTAGAAAAGTAACTGCACCCCCGCCCCCCGTCCAAACTCCCACACATACACTTTAGATGAATCAGATCAATTCATTAGAAGCTTCAAGGTGTGTGGATTTATATTGCAATATAACAGAGCTCTCCTTGTTCCTGTGCTCACAGATCTGACCTCCTTATTAACTACAAGCCGCCAAACTGGGGTTCATCTCCCCACCTTGCAGCCTTCAGCCGGCCAGTTCTTCGCGTCTCTAGATCCCATTAACGAGGCCTCTACTATTCTGGGTCCCTTAAACACAAACTCAAGGAATTCAGTTCAGCACCAGTTTCAAGACACTTTTCCAGGTACAAACCCTCCCTCTTAAATCCATCCCTGGCACAAGTCAGTTATCAACAGGGCCTGGACAATCTAGACAGCTGATTGTGGCCCTCTGTGGATCTATATCGAGCCATAGGAGCTCTACCCAAAAGAGATTTGGCGGATGCTTGAAACCTGAAGTTTTTTTAGTGAGGATCACACTTGACATCTCATCTACAACGAATATCTTGGAGGTGGGCTGCATGTGGGGAGGACAATGCGTCCAACAAACTGATCACAAATTATACTGCTAGTTAGTGAAAATAACAGCTGGGGGGGAAAGAAACATGCCTGACTTTTAAAAAAGATGTAATAAATTAACGAGAAAATGTGAAGTTGTAATATTTAGGTGGCATTTAGTTGGTCTCCATAGGGCCTTCCCGGCAGGCATCAGTCCATCTATTATTTGAAACTAATTTAAAACTTCTCTTCATACAAAAATACAAATAACACGGTTTGTCTCTCTCTCCCTCTTTTCAAATCAACAGGTCCTTATGCAGTTTTAACTAAAGACACATTGCCTCAAACGTACAAAAGAAAACGTTCCTGGTCCAGAGCTGTGTTTTCCAATCTACAGAGGAAAGGTTTAGAGAAAAGATTTGAAATTCAGAAATATGTCACGAAACCGGACAGAAAACAACTTGCAGCGATGCTGGGACTGACTGATGCCCAAGTAAGAGCCTGTTTGAGTTTTTTGTTTTCCTCTCCTCCCATCTCTTAAATCCGATCGGGCAAATGTAGATTAATTTGTGTCCCCCGCTTCCCCTTTCCCTGCGTTATGGGTCATTTTAAAACCTGGGCAGATAGCATATGGAATGCTGGTGAATTTGTTCAGCTATTCAACCTATTTTTACAGTGAATCTGCAAATTCATGTGTTTGTATTCAAGTATGCATCTTCTAGCAGAGAAAAATCCCTATAGCCCAGAGATTTATGTCAACATGCCCTGTGCGTTTGTTTTGGCAAATGCAGAAAAGTAGGAGCAAGAAAGCAAATAGGCCGTGGGAGATGGTAATTACGAACTTTATCGAAGTGCAATTCACCGTAGGAGGCAGTTTTTTCTCGAAGGAGATAAACGAGAGAGCACAAGATTTTTTTTTTAAATTCTCTCTTTCTGGATTATGAAATCCTTAGTTCTGAGGAAGTGAAAACTCCTTTTCAAACGGAATCATTAAACGCCACTAAGTAATGATTCCACTACTGATGGCCCACAGTACATAGAATTGTATAACGTTGCGGTCTGTTGAGCAAGATTTGGTTTCCTGGACGAAAAAGAAGAAGAAGAAAAAAACCGCTTGTATTCAAACACCACAAACAAACAACAACAACAAAAATCGTACAAAGCTAAAATATTTTTCGGTCGGAGGAGAATGAGGGCATTTTGGCTGCCTCATTTTATCCCAGCTCTGCATAGTTACTCTGAGCATTTTCTAAATGCTGTTATGGAGGTAGCAGGGCTCACACAAGAGTCTTTCCCAATTTATAAATCCAAATAGAAAATAGTTTCTTTCTCTGGACATCTGGCTGTCTAGATTTCCTTTCCCAACACATTTTTTAATATGAGGCTAGATCTGTGAATTCACACCACCTCCCGGGGGGACGGTATAGATGGTATATTATATCATATATACCCGCTACATGCATGCTACAGATAGAGTAGAAAAAGTGTCGATGTAGGTATAGTATTATATTTAAAGATAAACTAATCTTTGGGGGAGGGCCGTTAGAATAACGCGCAGTAAAATGAGATACATCTCTCCATGCCACTGCTGGTCAGTGCAACAACTGGAGCGCTCAGAACAAATTGGTGGGGAAATGCAGAAGTATGAAAAAAGAAACAGTTAATGCCACTTCTTGTAAATGACCCCAGCAAACTCTTGCTTGAGTGCGCCCGGGGAGCGCTGGGAGAATGTCCCCGCAGGACAGCGGAGCCGGGCGGTGGGGGCAGCGGAGGTTGGGGTGTCTCAGCCCGCCCACTGATCTCGGGTGGGTCTCTGTTGTGTCTCTTAGGTGAAGGTCTGGTTCCAGAACAGGCGCATGAAATGGAGACACTCCAAGGAAGCCCAGGCCCAGAAGGAGAAGGAGAAAGAACCTGCCGAGAAGCCCGGCTCGCTCCCCGCGGCCGAGGGGGAGCGTGAGCAGAGCCCCAGCCGCTCGGAAGCGGAAAGCGAGAGCAGCGACTCGGAGTCTCTGGATATGACCCCCAGTGACACGGAACGGACTGAGGGCGCCGATCCGGCCCTGCACCAAACCAGTGTCATCAAGTCCTCAGGCAGCCCGGACCTGCCTGCAGCACCGCCCCCGCCAGCCGGCTCCGAGAGCCCCGAGCCGCCGCCTGCGCAGCTGGGCGGCCTATAGAGAGGGAGCAGGAGGAGCACCCGGCTTTGCGGAGCCCAGAGACTCGCTGTACAGGACCATTGCTAATTTATATTATTGACTCCCAGCTGCCGGAGAAGCCCCAGGCCGGGCAGCCCCCAGGCCCTCCCCTGCAGAAAATCCCCGAGATCAACGGGATACGGAGGGAGGGGAGCTGCCCGGCTGTGTGGTGGGACGATCCTGAAGCGCCTACCCCTTGTGTTGTACATACTAGGGCGAGCTAGACAACCCACGGCAGAGCAGCCCTCGCTTAGAAAGCTGTAGCGACTTTCCGTGTGGTTCGGCTCGCGGCCCTGACCAGCTCTGCGGGAGGAGCTTTTCCTGTCTAAGCCAAGCGAGGGACTCGGAGACTGCTCTGTACCCCCCTCCCCCCACTGCCACCTTTCAACCTCGCCATCAAACAATTTACAATGTGAATATGTTACCAACGCACTCCTCATCCATTGCCATGTGTTGCTTTGTATAATCCGGCCAAGAAATACTGCACTGAGAACAAAAAAAATACTGTAAATAAAATGTTTGCTATGGTTTGTAACCCTGTCTAGTTTGTTACAGGACAAGGTCTGGCTGGGTTGGTTCAACTTGCAAGAGGGAGAGTTTGAATGACGATATGGGCCATTCATCATTCCATAATACTAAAGACACTAAACATGTTCACAATTTAAGTAGATGAATCCGATTAAAAGATTCGGATTAATTTTCCAGCTATGTAGATGAGAATCTTACTAATTAGGATCGTCGATTTTTTTTAATGATTTTTTTTAAATGTAAGGTCTGATTGAACCATAAGCCCTGCCTAGATGAAGCTATATTACATGGCATATATTAGGTGTTTGTGCATAGTTTAATCAGAGCTTGGACCAGCAAACAAATTGCATTTCCTTCTAATCATGTATGTGAGGATATATGGAAACACTATTGCTACAAAACGCCCAGGAAGGGGCTGTAGATTGCTTGGGTTTTGTTTTGTTTCTAAACTGTACATGTATGCATTTTATTGATACTTTGTATCCAATTCACAGACGGGTCTGAATAGCCAACCGAGGCTACTCTGACGCTTTTCAGAGCCTGGATGAACTCCTCGCCGTCCCGGTTGAAGTCCATGGGAGTTTTGTTTAAGGGATGGCTCTTTTACGGATATGAAGGGCCAGAAGGGTGTGTGACATAAAGAGTATTTTACGCTGATCTCATTAAAGTTAGCGGCCAACACTCCACTGGAAACTGGATCGTGCCCCCCTTAATGCGGCAAAAGGCTCTTTCCTCTCTGGGTTTCTTATCAGCACGAGTCTCTGGCCTGTGCACTCGGACGACTCTGGGTGTGGATGGGGTGAGGGGATGTCTGGAATGGGTGCGTGCTACAATCTCGCCCTTAGTCTGAGGGGAAAGCACTGTGAGTGGTGTCGGGCTGGGGGGCTGTCATGGGCCTCTCCTTTCTATTACATGAGGTGCATGGATCGCGCTACTCTGTCCATTTCCAGGCAGGGTCCAGACTGAGATCAGCTGGCTCCAGTCAGCCCTCTCGGTTAATCTACCGCATCATCTCTCTCTTTAAAAAGGGGAATGCGGGCCAAAAATCTCCCCTTTCCCAAAGCTCATCACTGCGAGGGAACACTGAGGCTGGCTGTTCATTGAGGTACCCTGAACCCCCCCCCCTTACCCAAATGGCGAATCAAGCAGAAATCAGGACTAATCTTAGCAATGACCTCTACTGTCAGACTGCCCGGGTGCAGCAGATACTGGAGGATAGGGCCTAGTTCTGATCTCACCCACAGGAAGTAGGCTACTGAAGTCATTGGCCTTCCAGCCAGTGCGAGAGGCGGAATCCAACCGCAAGGCGCCAGGCTCTGCAAATGTGACACCTATTTAAGACGAAGAGCTGAAAAGCTGGTGATCTGGAGATGGCTCTGAGATGGAGCTAAGGGGGTCAACACTCTGTCCCTTCTCAAGGCGAAAATCTTAAGCAAACAGAGCGAGATTTTCGGTGTCTTGGCCCAGCAGAGCAAAACGAACTGAAGAGATATAACAGATCGGAAAGGGCCAATAATTTCACACAAAAATAGCAAGACATAAATCCATGCAGATAATAAAGTGATAGCAGCTTTCTCATCCCTTCTAGGCATAGCGACTGTTACAGGCCAGGTGGTATTCACAGAGTGGCGGGGTGGAAAATGAATTCTAGCAAACGAGAAACTTACTCCTTAGCGGCTAAGAAGGGAACGAGAATCTCCATCTCCGAAACAGTCCCAAATCTCAGATTTTCAAACCCGTTTCCTTTATTCCTCCTGACGCTTCGCCACTCTCTTCAAAGGATTTTTATTCAGGGTCCAGTAGAAATCGAATGCTTACTGACTGTTTGCATGCTCACCACACAGCAAGGAAATATAGCTGGGAAATGCTAGGGCCCGAACTTACTCCCCATTAAAGTCAATGGGAGTCTTGCCCTTTCCTCCAGTAACTAGGCCCCATCTGTTCTACCCTTACTCAAATAATTAGGTAGGTAGGTGGAAAAAAGCTTTTAAAGCAACATGGATACTTCTAAAAAAAAAGGAGTACTTGTGGCACCTTAGAGACTAACAAATACTTCTGTAACTTTGCTATATACGGAACCTAACGAACTATTTTATTTTCATGCAAGTCCAAGTGAGCTCAGGTCATTTTTTCTTTTTTGGTTCAAACCGTTTTTTGTACCGTTTGCAATTTCATATTTGTCAGGCCTACAGAAAATCTGTAGTGAATAAATGTTTTTTGGTGAGGTCTTCCCAGCCTTAATTTTTACTGCATACAATATATTTAGGAGAAAAATGGTGTGTGTATCTGTTTGAAACACTCACCTATATAAATACATTTATTTGTGAGCAAAATTATGCTTCAAATATCGGGAAATAACGTGGGTTATTTATATAGCGCCTGCAGCATATGTTAGTTTGAGTTTATTTTAAAGTAACGAGTTTATAGCTAGAAATGATACACAGCTAGCCAGCAAAATGTTAGACGATCTCTGTTTTTATCCTCAGCAAACCTACATAATGTAGCTCACAATTAACCACTTCTTTGTTTTCGTTTATTCTATAAAAAACAATCAAGCTTGAACAGGTTTGTTAAAACATCAAAGTGGATTTTATCAAATATTTGGATGATTTGATCATTACCAAATAAATTAGAGAGGAGAAATGAAAGGCTAAGTGATTTTTGAAAGTGTGTATATAAATATTATCCTCTCCTTTTGTTTTAAAGTTGTCCGATTCTTTTATAAATGTGACTTTACATATTACACCTTAAAGGTGGGTGACTTTTGAAACACTAGATTACAGAAGTCAGAATCCGTTTATAAGAAGTGGTAGCGAGCAGGAGCTCGCTTTGTAAATGGATAGGTTGAGAGAGAAAAAGAAAATTTTCACAAAGCCGTAGCTTACCGTGTGGCCACAACGTTTTAAAAATAGTGTCTTAAAAGAGGAACAAACAGGCTGACCGAGAAAGATGAACAGATCGAGAAGGAACACTCCTGAGTAAAACTCCTGATGCTCTATAAGAAAGGCACCATGAAAACATTAGAAATTAATTCCCACCGACCGTTTAACATTGGTACACTTCTTGTACACCTTGGAGATAAAGTTTCAGGGGTCAGTTGTATGCCTACTGCTGGGGAAATATTTTGCAAGGGGAAGAAGTCAGGTTGCAGCCTTAGCTCCCCTCGCTAGGCTTGGTTTGTGCATTTCGTTTATTTATTCAGTTATTTGTTTTGTTTTAAAATCGCGGAATAGAAGAATAATCTTCCTCATCAGAAAAAAATAACAACAACAAAATCTGCCCATAATGGGTTCTCACTTAAATGCTATCTGACGGGGGCTGGGGGCGGACCCGATTTCCTTAAAATGTAAAAAGATAGAGAGCTTTATGGAAATATAGTTCACTGTTTTTATCTCTTCTCCAGTCTTGTAGATAAACATAAAATATTGTTATATTAGTCAGGATCTTGTTGTGATTCTGCCCAGACCTGCCAGTATATACTATTGAACCTAATAAGAAGTAAATGCGTATATAAAATATTTTAAGGATGATTTGTCTGACAGTAAAGAATTTTGATTGTTTTATTTTTAATTAAAAATGAAAAAATCAAGCTCTCCCAGTTGCCAATTCCTCGGGTATCTTTAACACCAGGGACCATAGTTCCTCAGATAGTTTCTGCTACATGATCTAGTTTTCCACCCCTGAAGGATTTAGCGCATGTGGTATTGAAATCTTTTGCTGTCAGTTCCAAGCACGTTGAATACAGTGTACCAGCACGACAAGATTTCATGCAAGCAGATCTTTTGTATAGTATATCTGAATTTCTTTGAAGCAAATAGTCGTTCTGTTAGTTCCCAGTTTAGAGAGAGAAACGGTAATGTATATTTCCCTTTAGAAATGGCTGCCCTCTCCAAAACTGCGCTTGGGTCTACTCAATGGCACAACTGCGCGTTTAAACGCCATCAGCACTTCTGTACCTCTAGGCTCCTTTTATCATTAGGAATGGATCGCACAGTATCTTGCAATTTTCCATTGATTGTGTACAGTTGGGTGTCTGAGACGCTCTGTCACAGAGGTAGATGAAACATTTCATGAGAAACAGCCACGGGAACGTTATCAATTACACCGAGAGAGAAATGATATTTCCCTTCCTCCTCTCTAGTTTTCATGGTGGGTGGGTGGGTAACATTAATAATAAACGGGGGGGCCTTTTCGTACTAGTTCATCTGATCATGGCAACTTTCCTAATCACCTATAATAAAACCCACTTTGGGTCTCTCTCTCTCTCTCTCTCTCTCTCTCTCTCTCTCTCTCTCTCTACCCAAGCACCTAGCAGGGCTACTTTTCACGAGT